CCCATCATTCGTCAGTACCGTTATACGCAGGCCAAGTTCTCATTGTTTTCTTATCAACTGAAATTGAGACTTTTACTTTGTTTAATTTCTTTCAAACAAATTTATCCAAGAATTGAAATAACTTTTCACCCCATCTCTGGAGGCTCTCCAGCCGTCGAAGGCCCCTGCTGCAGCCCCTTAAGCCCGTGATTGCTATTGATCTCGAGGCAGTCATCAATATTTTCGTAAGTCAGAAAGCTTGAAAAAAAACCCCCTAATATGAAATATATGTTGCACGTCCATTGTCTCATAATTAGTGGTGCGGTATTTTACGGGTCATTTTTTGCCAAAGAGTCGGTGATTAACCTTTGCAAAATGCAACACCACTCTACAATTAGAGTCCTCCATCTTTATGTGGCAAACCTTCCTACATTGACACTGCATTGCGTATGCCCGTCTTCATTAGTCCAGTTGGCGAAGGACAGAGCGTTAAACTTAATTTCATTTGGTTATTGACAGATTCGGGCAACGAAATCATCGGTTCCAGTTTGTATCTCACCCGACAGGAAAGTGCTTTAAATCTAATCGGGACGAGTCGCCTCGTTTGGCCGATCCCTTAATCCGCCCCTGTGTCACGGGAGCTCGGTTTTTAATCACATTTGAACGATTAGACGCTGGTCCTTCTCAGGACCATACCAGGCCCTCCCCTCAGCACAACTGAACAGAGAGAGGGAGAGGAGAGAGAGAGAAATGGGGTTTAACGTCCACTGGAGACAAACTAAGTCATTTCGGGACTAACACATAGTTGACTTTTATTTCCAAAATTCGCTGGTGCGTAAGGGTCTTTAGCAGTGGGGGGAAACCGGAGGACCCGGCGAAAACGCACGAGGTTGGACAGGCGACCCTACTCCTTGTCACGTACAACCGGGGAATCGAAACCACGCCAGTTGACTCAATGACAGACCTTATAATACAGCGCCCAGAACAGAGGAAACCACGCTGATAAATCCCACCGTGGACCTAATATAAAATTTGATTTTATCAGCACTTTTAACGTTGCTGGAACTAGAAGACTAGACGCTGTTCCTTGCCAGGCCTTCAGTGTGTCCTGCACCACCGAGAAGTTCCCCTTGTCAGTGATGCAGGACGGAGGGCCTGACAAGGACAGCTGTCTAGTCGTTCGGATGGGACGAAAAACCGCGGTACCGTGTACATATTTGCGTGCACGTAAAAGATCCCCTGGCAGTTGGAATTCGATATAAGAGTAGGCCGTAGCGCCGCTGCCCGGACAAAATTTCCCTCATAGCACACTGTATGGCGTATGCCCGTCTTCATTAGCCCAGTTTAGGAGCAGAACAGTAGGACGTTGAACCCCATTTCATTTCATTTACCACCGAGAAGGGGAACTGGAAACAAGAGGATCGAAACAGGTTAATTCTACTGAGCCACCGCGCCCCCCTCTTACCATGATTCAGAAACCGAATCCACGTGGCGAACACATGTCTTAGAAAATTCGTTGCGCGTAAACTAAAAGCGGAAATTAGTGTATTATAAGCCAGAATAATTTGTTTTCTATCTTATTTATTCAGCTTTTAAACCTACTAATTGTTGAATATGTTAACATTTTATAGACATATACTTGCAATATTCTTGAATAATGTCCATTGCTTATCTTTCTATAACTTCACTAACTATAAATAACGTTATTTTACGTGTCAACCAGTATAAGAATTAGAGTTTTCAAACGGTGTATTTTACTAGTCAACCAGTATCAGAATTAAGAGTTTTCAAACGATATTTTACGTGTCAACCAGTATCAGAATTTGAGTTTTCAAACGTTGTATTTTAGAAATGTGAAGGTTTTTAAGATTCAGTATGTTTGTAGATAACCAAAATATAGTATGACATTAAGGGTGGATGTTTTTTATACCCCCACATTTTCACGTGGATGTATATTGTCGTCATCCCTGTTCGTCTAGACGTCCGTTCACATTTTGTTTGTGTACACTCTACAGGTCACAATTTTTATCCAATTTTGACAAAACTTGAAATAAAAGTTTATATCCCAAAGACCTTGGTTCCTTTCGATATTGACGTGTATCGTATCATAACTTCATTCATTATAGCTCCTGACTATACGAAAGATCATATTTTTAGCTTGTAGACACTACAGAGATCACAATTTTTATCCAATTTTGATGAAACTTAAAACGTATGTTTATAACCCACAGATCTCGATTCCTTTCGATATTGTCGTATATTGGACCATAACGAAAAATCACGTTTTTAGCTTGTTAACGCTTCTAGGTCACAATTTTTATATTATTTTAAAAATCATTCTAATATATCACCGTTACACTATAATTACGGTTGAGTTCGAATTTCGTGAAAATCGGAATGAGACTTTTGACAAAGTAGTATAATAGTATAATACGAAGGTTGTGGACCCTCTAGAGGTCACAATTTTTGTCCAATTGTGATGAAACTTAAAATATATGTTTATATCCAAAACATCCCGGTTCCTTTCGATATTGACGCATGTCGAACCGTAATATATTAGATTTTTTTTTAGTTTTTTCTCTGTCCATCGCTTGCAAACTGTATGCGTATCTTGCATGGCAACCGCTAGTTTTAATCATAAATTAATAACAATATTGCTAGTTAAATAGATAGACAAGTACGAATATTTGAAACTCTGGCTGACTGGAGTATAGCTGTTCAACAGAAGAAAGATTTCTTGTTAAGATGTTTTGTTATCTTTCCCCCTTCAAGTTGTATTTCAATAAACAGAAGTGATTCTTACCCCCTAGAGATATCGTTATAAATGGCCAATTCTCTCCCAGGGTTTTTATCTGTGGCGCCATCATTGTAGGAGTCCAGATTTTGGTGAGCCCCAGGGCAGCTATTCTCGACCAACCGACATCTGCACCGTTGCCTGGCAATTTATTTGAATCCTACCCAATAATTTTAAGCCAGTTTGTGTTTGAAAGGATGTGTAGGCTAATTCCAGGGAGGCAGATACTCTCGGACAAGGGTTCTTTTAGTGTGCTTACCAATATTTTAAACGGGTGAACCTCAGTTTTTCCTTCTCTCCTATCAAATAAGCTACACTTTCGAAGGTCTGATTACGTCGCAATTCAACACACACTGCCTCGATCATTGGGACTGAAAGAACTGTGACACGACTGAACTCAGTTTCACACGATTGCCATTTTGTCAATTCGGAAGGCACATGGCTCACAATAGAGTATCTCCTTTATAACTTATACAGGCATGGCCACACAGGTAATTGGGAATAGCGTAAACTTTAAGGAACGTGTCGACAACTCACATAAGAAAACGCAATGTTTGTATTTCTAAGAAAAGGTACCACAAAGCCACACACACAGGACCTGTGGTTTCCACACAGTTGTAACAGTTTCTTTGGTTATCTCCAGACAGAATTAAACCCATTTATATATTTATATCACTAAAATCGGACTAGTTTCGCGTCTTTACAGGATTAGAGTACGAAATATGGTTTGACGTCGTACATTTCTGCATAATGATGACGTTGACATACGGACTAAGACCAGTAATTATTTCCCCTTAGTGCGAGTTATATATAGACAATTTTTCTCTTAATTTTTTTCTCCCCTCTTCCTGCATTTTTTGGTTGACTCTTTGGTCTAGAATTAGAAAAGAGGGAACAAATTTGCAATTTCATAGCAGTTTTGGGTAATACTGATGATATTACAGCGGAGGGATAGGGGGTATAAAGTGTCTTTCTGCAGAGCAATTATTGTGTCGGAAGTGAGATTTTCACGCCAGTCGACATCAAATCCCCGTAGCAAAAAATCTAAATGGCAAACCACCTACAAAATTATGATGAGGAGATTGCCAAATGTGATCTCCATTGTGCCTATAAAGATTGGAACTAACGGAATGTTGAGCAAAAAGCTACAGCTAACACCGGAATCGAACTCGTGACCCCCTGGTCAGTGAGCGGGTTCCTTACTCATTAATCACTGAGAATACTTAACACAACAAAATACATTGCATTCAAATAATAAAACTATTACTATATGTCCGCTTATTTTTAACTTAAATTTTAAAACATCGAAAAGAGTTTCTGAAAATGGAGGACATAACCTTGTAATTTTGGTGCTTTGAAAAAAAAAACCCCAAAAAAACCACAAGTTCTACAACAGATGTTGTAACATCCGTCATGTGAAATTGATTGAACACAGAGTTTCTGAAAATGGAGGACACTATAACCTTGGAATTTTGGGGTGATTTTTTTTTAAACTTGAAACTAAAAACACAAGTTCTACAACAAATGTTGTAACATCCGACATGTGATATGAGGATAGCGAAGTTGATAAATTCAACAAGTTTTATACAATCTTAGCAATGCCCAAAACAAAATACAAATTCAAAGGTGCATTTTCATCAGATTAACATATTTAGCCTTCTTTAAGGTGGGCAACTGTTGTTCTAGTATTGATAGGCAACATTGAAATGTTCGCCCACGGTACAACTTGCCTTTATCCCGATTGCTAGGCACCGAATCGTGAAATATAACACACAAATCTTAAACCAGAATACAGAATACAACTAGGCCAGGTTTCTGTACAGAGACTGAGTTCCACCATGTCCGGGTTGTTTTTTTATTGTTGTTTCAGCAAGATGAAGTCGGAATCCAAGTCAATACTCTAACACGTCTTCAACAAGTTTCCACAAAGAAGTTACAGTTAATGCCCGCTTGTTTTAAACATTGAACAGATTGGAGAGGAATTTTAGTACTGATGCGATAGGTTCGATGTCAATAAAACTCCATGTAAACGGCGGCTTTGTGGCCGAGCAGCAGAAGTGGTCATTGGTCAACGGGGGCATTGCATGCACTCCAGCCCTGCCCACAGATCAACGCGTGGAATTCTGTGAAGATAATTGTGTAAATTTTGCGCCCAATGTTTGGACATTTCACGCGAAATCACACTTTCTAAATCCCGTAGTTTGACGGTTTCTTTGCTTTGTTTTACTTCAGTTGTTCGACAAATAACAAGAGCAAATGTTCCGATCGTCTGGAAGCACGAGCGAAATGACCTAGAAAAAAAAAGATGAAATAAGAACAGACCATTGAATATTATCTGGACAATGGAGAGAGTTGGTGGTTTAACCTGGACTACACCTCCCATCATTAGACTACCAGTACGATTCAAGAGGAGAAGTCCCAAACTATCGCCGTCACTCAATCAAAGCTTGCCTGGCAAGCTTTGCTATAAATAACCGTCTTTCTTCAATGGGTATCATTTTACGTATGGGTATTCATACTATAGACTTAATATAACGTGACACTCACGTTCTGGCTTTACCTCGCCACTAAATGGATATTGAAAGAGTGCATAAAACTGTGTGTTGGACTTGAGTAAGAGCAGTACGGGTGGAGCCAGATCAATGTTTATGATTGATTGTACAGGACTTATTATATATCCACGAAGTTTTAGTATAACCTGACTTTACTTGATGTAGGTGTACACTACTTACACCAAGTTTGTGCTAGTGGTATATCAGCTGAAGACACGAATGTACAAAGGAGTACTTATAGTGTCCTTATTCATAGCCCTTAACTTTAACACAGGGGCATGTAAACAGGGTTGTGCGACCGTCTATGGTCCCTGTCCAGGGAACAGACCACGGATACCGGCCGAGGAGGGATGTTGTCCGGCTCGAGTCGGAGAAGCGTGTGGAGTGGACGTAGGGGTATTCTGTGACGGGGAACTAGGTTATAAATGTGTAGCGGAAAACGGACGAGACGGTCAGGGCATATGCCAAGGTAGGTGGTCTTTTAATTGGAAGTATACATACATTGAACATAATAGAATCATATTGATACAGTAAACACGGCTACTGTATTCATCAAAGGTTATCGGGGGTCAAAGTATATTCCAAAACCCTGATTAATAAGCATGCCTCGAGACTTGTTGAGATTTATAAACAGAAAGAATAAATACAACTCGTGCTTAAACGAACATAAAGAATTAAAAGTTTTCTTTTGTTTGCTCGGAAAACAGCGAACACTTCTTTTGTCCTACTAAAAAAGGATGAATGACGAAAGGTAACAAATTCTGTTAACAATTTGCTTTTTAACTCTCAATTACCTTTCAATTTTAACTTATCTTTCCTCTGGTTGTGTTTCCTAGTTATTTAAGGAACCTGTGTTTATCAATCGATTGGGACGACAAGCAATGTCGCGTTGGTCTTAAAAGTTTTAAAGTATAAATCCATTTTGTTTGAAATAATCACGATAAACATAACGAAAATGTTTAAAGAAATATGTTGATAAAGCTCTGGTTTTATTAGAATAAAATACAAAAGAAAGGCGATCTTCTTAAATACATGGGAAGTGGTATTACGTGTTCTAGAAGGTGAAAACATACCCTATACGACTCCCACCGTTTTTTGTCACTAATTGTATAGTAAATAAAACTGTACCGATTTCTTGTATTTTTCGGAAGACATCAGTATGCATAATGATCTTCGAATTCTTTTTATCATACTGTATTCTGAATTCTATTTGTCATAACGTCATTCGAATTCTACTGTCGTTTGAGTTCTATTTGTCATAACGTTATTCGAGTTCAATTTGCTACACTATCATTCGATTTCTATTTGTCATGCTGCCATTCGAATTCTGTTTGTCGTATCATCATTGGAATTCTATTTGTCACACAGTCATTCGAATTCTACGTGTTATATTGTTTTTAAAATTCTCTGTGTTAAGTGGTATGCCTAGGCATTTTAAAATGATCCTACGCCGACTTTTGAATAGCCATGGAATTTTAAACCAAAGTTCAGAATATCAACAACTGTTTGAATTTTCTTTTAAACCCCAACATGCCAAAATAAAGGTGACAGTTAATTTAACACCATACACAATCAAAATTATTTTGAATACTAATTATTCAAATTGGTCAAAATTCTAATCCTAGGTTTCTGTTAATTTCTTTCGGCGTGGTTCCCCTTGTCAGTGGTGCTGTCTAGTCGTTCGGATGGGACGAAAAACCGAGGCCCCGTGTACACATTAGTGTGTACGTAAAAGATACCTTGGTAGTTGGAATTCGACATACGAGCATGCCGTAGAGCCGCTGTCCGGGCAAAATTTCATTCATTAGCCAAGTCGGAGCAGAACAATAGGACTTTAAACCCCATTTCATTTCATCTTTTTCTTTCATGTCAGCCACGAAGGTCTCCTTTTTTTTACGCGTGCAAACGTGTTTTACATTATGCCTTTAATTGAGGGGTCAAGAATTTCGTTTTTTTTCCCTGAGAAGTAACTTTTTGGTAAACTGTGTAGATTTAATTTATTCTATTGCAAATAAATCTTCACTCTCTACTTATATCGTTAACGGAAGCTTGGTGTTTAAGATTAAATCTTGGATGCCATATTTTTCTTATTAACTGCACCAGGATATAAATTCGTGTGAAGACTCATTTTGAAAATAAACAGAAAGTCAGCTGTTTAGATTCGTCATAAACAAACGTGTTTTGTCTACGTTTTATGGTGTTTAGGCCGAATCTGACAGACAATGTGTCAGCCGTCATCGGATCTGTTGTAATATCCGTAAGATTCTCACACATCCTGTACGCCATTCTTTCATAAATTCAGGTCATTTTTTTTATTATAATAATTAGTGGGACAATTTGGGTTTAATCTATTTGATAAGGCCAACTTCAATGGGATCGGTTTCATGTGCTCGTACCCCTGGATCTTTCATAATATTTCCTCGTGCCCCATGTCTAAAATGACTTAAGGAAATAAATGAAATTATAATGATATGAAATACAAAGTACGTTTATTTATGCGTTGCATACATATAAATATACTGAATACATAAATAGTCTTTCAAATACAGCCGTACTTACACAGTAGGCCGATACAGTATTGATTTGACACCATATCTCGTAATTCCTGCTTTATGAACCTCTAGTTTAACTCGTGCGCTTTAGATTAAGTTGTATGGTTTCGACGCTATACTTGACACAGAGTAGGGCCGCCTGTCTAACCTTGTGGGTTTGCGCCGGATTCTCCGGTTTCCGCCTAATGCCAAAGACCCCAAAGGCGCAAATATTGCAAATGTTAGTCCCGAAATGACATATGTTGTGTTGAGTTGATTTTAACCCCCATCTTCTCCACCTCGCTATATCTATAGCCTAATTCATATCGATTGATGTATGAAGATAGTGATATATAGGTTTTATAGTAATTTGATTGACGTATATCGTGTCTTACACATTTCTTTTGTGTATAAAAGCCACAAAGAGAGAGGAGGGGAGAGAGGTGGGGTGGGGGGGGGTAGTACGGGGTGCTGGATTGACTGCGATATCATTCTTGTGGAAGCATACGGTAAACCACCAAAAGAAATAGACTGTTGATAGTAAAGTTTGTCAACTATGCCGAGGTTTCGGCCTATGTAAAACCATGTCCGGAAGCGAATAATTTTTTTTTTAAAAATGACAAATGTCCTGTTTCTTTTGTTCAGGGTAATGAGCTATGCATTTCCGCCGAAATGCTTAATGCAATCTCTTTGGATTATTGGTCAAGAGAACGTGAAAGATCAACTAAATAATAAATGTAATCTAATTGGGTTAAAAGTCTCCTCAACACAGTAATTGTTTACATGTGTCAAATATTTGAGGCGCCAAATTCGAATGAAAAGGCGTCTAGTCGTATGGATGGGACGAAAACTCGGGGCCGTCCGTGTATACATTGGCATTCACGTAAAAGAAACCACAACAATTAGAATTCGATGTAGTGTAGGCGGAAAGACCGAAGTCCCTACAAAATTTTCTTTCCTAGCACACTTCATGGACGTATGCTAGTCTACAGGTTGGTTTATTTGACCTATTAGAAATTATAAGTCTTTTTTTAAAACATACATTATGCAAGAGCTAAATCTGCCTATTACAGGTCTTTCTTTAGGCCTGAAATGTTATCTAAATTATTAATTAGACATTAATTAACTTATCCAAACCATAATCAACTCTCAATGCCATCGCTAGCCTGCGATGTTTATTGGATTAGGTTCCGATTTGCTGCTCGACTTCATTCATAATTAAATCAAAAAATGGATAATCGAGGCTATTGTTTTTTTATCCCTCCGAATTTAGTAATTATGATCGAAGCTAGCCCCAATATTCAATCGATAAAATCTCGGTTCGGAGTGGATCAATTTGACTGAAATTTTCAGCAAATTCCCTTTACATTATCTAGTTTTTAACTATTATAGTGAGAACTGCCAACTCTTTATCTAATCTCCCATAATGTATCTTTAAGTGTTAATTTTAACAACAAGTCTATCTTTATGACACTAATACTCCAACTGTATATAACGTCCATCGTTCACGGCCTATATTTTCGTTTGTTCTTTACATATTGGGCTTACAGTGTTAGTGTTAAATCCAATATTTGGTTAATAAAAGATTTCCCCCTGCTGCACCTGAACAAAACAAAGCCATGAATTGACGCCGTGGAGAAAAATACCAAGCGATATAATTGAGAGAACACGGCTGGGATTTAAATTGTGTCAAACTTGTCCACATGACGTGTTGACTTCTGCCACACATTTGATGTTTGTAAACCTTTTTATTTTCTAATCTAATCGATTTGAATACAGAGTAAAACTAATTGAATTTATATGTAAATAGTTTTAACATGATTTACATATTGTTTAAAATCTTACTTTTCTGCAGATGAGGACAGGGATACATCATGCTCTAGGAGGGACATTTTGCCCGGACAGCGATTTTTGTTCCATCCGAAATACTAGACGTTTTTCATTGCCCGGCCCTCAGTCCTGACAAGGGTAAACCTTTTCGCCGTTCGCGTTCTCTTTTTCTTTCCTTGTAGACATTTCCTTGGTCACCGGTATTTACAGTTCCTGGCCGGAACTTGACGAAAGCCAGATGGAAACGAGGAGCTAAATCTAATTCTTAAGGCCAACTCAAGGGCATGTGATTATTGGTGAGATTGCAGGTTAGGGTAAGCGTTGGGGCTAGGTCAGGGGTTAGGGTTAGGGTTGGGATTAGCGCTAGCCCTGCTTACATCTCGTGACCTTCAATCAAACTTGAAGTTGGCCTTATGAAATAGACCTAACCGGGTTGTTACGTCATTTTTCACAAGGATGCTGTATTTAACCTTCATTTAATTTTTCCTAGTGGTTTTCCGACACCGTTATTCCAAAGTCGAACAGTCGAAATACAGGCCATGTGCAACTTATCACGACTGACATTCAGTATTTTGTTAAAAAGAAAATATCATTTTGGCAGCATAACTCACTCCGTCAAACTCATTTATTGCCGCGTCATTCTGCGCACAATGCACTGCGGAACGTTTTCCCATCTTTAGACATACCTAATTCACCCTTTTCTTGCAATTAAACGCGGCGCGTACGAAATAACGACGTAGAGAATATTTAATTTTCAAACTCAACTCTTTTCCAGCAGTATTTCGTATTTTGGAGACACGTACCGGATTTTTTAATCATTCTATTTTCAGTTCAAAGTTAACTGCATTTTAACTTTAAAGTTAAATTTATATTTTAAATCAAGATATCAGCTTTAAACAAAAGAAAATCAACAGAAGAGAAAGACAGGGGTGTTGACATAGAGACAAATAGTAAACATGACATGACAGACGACCGACGTGGTTATCAGTGTAAAATACAGATTGATTGTAAATATTTAACAACATCATTATATATAATCGCCATATTGTCTTAATCTGCATGTCGTCTGCTCGTGGCCATCTTGGATTTCTATATATACCGGTATATA